GTATTCTCGGGCCAAAAGTTAAAAATAAAGTGTCATATTGTTTCAGACATCCTCCATGTATTATCGGGCCAAAAGTTAAAAATAAAGTGTCATATTGTTTCAGACATCCTCCATATAAAAATAAAGTGTCATATTCTTTCAGACACTCTCCATGTATGCTCGGGCCAAAATTTAGATTCAATAAAAACTGCAGTTATGTGTAACGTGAATAGAAAAAATGTCCATTTCAAAAGAAAACACCTTATAGTTTTGTGAAAGCTTGTTTATGTTTGGTTATATTGAAACTTCATGATCTTTCACATCATTAAAATGACTCATTAATCTTTAAATACTTCAGGCTGAAGAAGAAAATAAAGATGGTATAGCGGAAAGATTATACACTGAGCTTCCGGAGACAAGTTTTACTCGCTCAATATCCAACCCCGAAGCTGTCATGAGGAGGAAACGCCAGCAGAAGCTAGAGAAAAAGCTTAAAGAGATGGGAGAACAAGGGGGCAGTGAAGCAGGTAAGAAGTTGTCCTTAGATTTGTCTTTCGTAGAGTTACAAAAGAGCAATTAAACAATGTAGGCACACCATTTTAAAAACTAAATGTAGTAATGGAAAATTTCAGTACCAATAACTGAAGAATGTCAGCTTCAGTAAAATATTTAATATACTTTTTTTAAGTCCCTAATTGTGGTTTTTATAGACCGTTTCTATCTTAAGGTAACACAAACATTCTTAGTCGATCTTTGAGCAACGATTGAATCTTTAGATTATTCCAGAATATTCTGCAATGTATGAAGTAGTAGTTATACAGACTTGCTGTTTAAGTTATCTAGCTGTCCGTAGAAAGGTTTCTCTATTATGACAAGGTGACCAATCATGTAATAAGAAACTACTTTTCTGTATGAAATTGGAAAAAAAGCAATAGCTGGTACCAAAATATTTGGTTCTTGGTTTTTAACCTCTTATTTGTTATAATGTTTTGTGAAGTTAAACTGTCACAAAAAATATTGTGTGTGTTTGTTTTATAACTCAGTGGTAAGCTTAAGCTAAGTTTGTGAGCTCCAGGACAATAAGAGATCCATTTGTGAACCTTAGAAACTACATAGTACTGTGCTTATAACTATACAGTTTAAAGAAAATATATTCATGTTCAGTTCTCTTAACGTATAAATATCTAATGCTTTTCCAGGAGGAACTCTACGGATCTTTGGAGATTCCATCAACAAGGATGTGCCTTACAAGACTTTACTCTTGTCGTCCGAGGATGCAGCTAGTAGTGTGGTGAAGGAATTGCTCGAGAAGTACGGCCTTGAGAAAGAAGACTCCCAACAGTATTGCTTGGTGCAGGTGGTCATTCCTACAATGAGAAGTATCAACAATCATTCCTCCTTCCCGAGCCCAGAGGAATACATTCTTGATGATGATGATTATCCATTGCGTATTGCGAGAAACTTTAACAATGAGAAAGGTATGTGATACAAATGTTGCCTGGTATTTATTTTCCACAAGTTGAAGATTCTTCCCCCACCCCCTTAGAAACTGAATAATGGTCCCATTCATATTTGTAATATTTATGCAACAGCTTTTGTATGAAGCACATTTTTAAAATATTCTTTGTGAAGTACTGATGGAATTAAAGTAAGTGAATGGCTCTTTGTGATATTTGAAGCCATTTGCACTTGTAAGTATCCTTGTGGAGGTTTAAACACTTCATTTTCCTCGTTGATGAGACACAGCTGTTTGAAATGACTTGTTCTGATTATGAAACAGAGTTTAAAACATGATTCTGGTTGTTGTTCTGAGGATTTATTTGTAGTTTTCTTGATTTTGTAGTAAATGTCTGTAAGGAATTAACGTCCCAGAATTTATCTGTTCAGGTTTATGTAGGGGACATTGTTATTTTAATAATGATGTTATTTAAACACACAGGTTCAAAAATAAATTTTGGACAGAAATAAAAACCCTATAACTCAAGTGCTGTGGACGGCTGTCAGGTTATAGTATTCTTATTTTAGTTATTGCTACTGTTAAGAATTGTCCCACTTCATGGGTGTCGGTAATGGAAGCCAACTATACAGTCTGTAGTCCATACAATACCACTACCATTACAGGATTTTGATAGTAATTTAAATGTTCTTATTTTACTAGTGATAACTGAAGCCAGTCAGATGTTGTACTTACCAAAACCAGTCAAACTTTTGTTTCCATTATATGGATGTTCTACCATGTCTTGGAACTGAGGATGTAACCTCATGTTGCAGTCATGTGCCCCATGAGACAATTTGTGTCTGATTTGAATTTGTCACTGCATTGTTTCAGCAGTGAATATTATCATTTTAATATTTTCTTACACGTTTTGTGCTGATAATTTTCGGTGATACTAGTTTCTCGAGTACTGTGTATTATTATTATTTAAAAAAAAAAAAGTCATTAAAATTTATTTACTTCAGAACATCAGTATGATTTAATAATAATAGTTAATTGAAATTATTATTTATTTATGTTTTTTTACATTTCCCAAATCTAGGTTCTCTTACGTTCCACATTAAACAAAGGCCTACAGATTATCAGCCCAGAAAGAGGAAGAAAAAACAAGTACACACAAAGGACAATTCGGACTCTTCTTCTCAGAGTGATGACTCAATAGGGCAAATGCCCTACCTTTCAGAAATTAATCCAGGTGAATTCTTAACCTCAATAAGTATTTCTTTAACTATTTGGTTTTAAAAGTTGAAGTCATTAAAATTATTATAAAATCATTTAAGAATGTAGATTAATGCATTAGGTTTCAGTTTTGTATTTTGTACATGGATCTTAAAACATTTAATGGATGTTATTTTTAAGGTTTTTTATTTTTTCATTGCCTGTTTCACATGATACTACTGTATTAGAATAATTAATTATTCAGTTTTCTTATTTAATTATTCAAAGGGGATTATACTTTAAAATAGTGAGAAGAAAGTTTAGCTGTTTGGAAATTGTTGTGAAAAAAATGTTTTTTTTTGGTAGATTTGAGTGAAGTTTTACACGGCAAACCAAAAAGATATCCACTTTTTCCAAATGTCACAGAAGTAGGAAGTGAGAGATCAAGTTCTACAGATGGACAGTTTTTACAGGTGTTGTATAGAGTCCAGTTAAGCCCCGTTTAATGTTGGTGGTGTTGTATAGAGTCCAGTTAAACCCCGTTTAATGTTGGTGGTGTTGTATAGAGTCCAGTTAAACCCCGTTTAATGTTGGTGGTGTTGTATAGAGTCCAGTTAAACCCCGTTTAATGTTGGTGGTGTTGTATAGAGTCCAGTTAAACCAACTTTAATGTTAGTGGTGTTGTATAGAGTCCAGTTAAACCAACTTTAATGTTAGTGGTGTTGTATAGAGTCCAGTTAAACCAACTTTAATGTTAGTGGTGTTGTATAGAGTCCAGTTAAACCAACTTTAATGTTAGTAGTGTAGTATAGAGTCCAGTTAAACCCACTTTAAGGTTAGTAGTGTTGTATAGAGTCCAGTTAAACCCACTTTAATGTTAGTAGTGTTATACAGAACATTATTTTGTATTACAGTAATAATAGGTTAGTTTTAAAAGACATACAGTAAATTTTCTATAATATTTGTAAACAAAGCTAATATGTAAAATTTCTGATTACAGATGATAGTTGTTGCTAAATCAGATGTTAATATAAATAATTGTTTACAACTTCATTAGGTAAATTTGATAGATTTACT